CCCCCCTTAAGATCCGCCCCATCCCTCTATCGAGGGGATCTGGATATGGTCCACCCTTATTGAACCGTGCAGGAGCAGGGGGGTATTAATTAGGGATTGACATTAATCATTATCGCCCAAGTGGTACCACATTGCTGTACTAACTGTTGCTAACCATAGCTGCCACTAGCCACACCAAACCACACCAACCATGATTACACCATCAAATTTACCAGCACAAACCACCCTGTTTCAGGCCCAAATTCTCGTCACCAAGCCGCGGGCAAGGACCACAAAGTCAATCGATCGGTGAAGGGATGACGTCTCACAGGAGAGCCGTTGAAGTGCTCGTATCTCCTGGCCATGACGGATTCCAGCGGCCGCTTTTATTTTGAAAGGTTTGCGCACCGGAGGAAACTCGTGGATGTTCTGTGATTGTTTTTGTGTTTATAATTGTATATATTTTATGTCATGGCGCTGAACGGGCAAAACATTTACAACCCCAAACTGGTGATCCCCATCCCCCAGCCGCCCCTCCTGGGATTCGTCGTCGCCAGGCGCCGTTGCCGTTCCTCCGCGCTGAGCCGCTCCGGCGCCACGGCCGTGGCCAAGCGCAGGCCGTTGCGTGTCATGCGGCCGCCGCGGCGCCAGATCTCGGCCACGGAGGCCTCCAGGGTGTGCCGCGGGCCGAAGCGGAGGCGCAAACGCTTCACCTGGAGCATGGGCCCTTGGAGATGGAGAAAAAATAGCTAAGGGGGCCCCTTGGATGATCATCCTTAGTGGTGAGTAAGTTGGTGACCATAATTCTAAGCCATTGATATGTGGGATAGGCCATGAGATGGGGACTAACCAGTTATGCGGGACCATCCCCCAGGGGCATTGAAACTAAACATGTTCGCTGCAATCCTGACGTTGCTCCGCGTCTGACTTCAGGTGGCTATGAAGATAAAGTTGATGTTATTACCCCAACCAACATATTGTTCATAAGCGGTGGCGGATTTTGATCCCTTATGAAGATAAAAGTGATGTTATTACCCCAATCAACATATTGCTCATAGGGGCTGACGAATTTTGATCCCTTATGAAGATAAAGATGATGTTATTACCCCAATCAACATGTTGTTCATAGGGGGTGGCAAATTTTGATCCCTCATGAAGATAAAGTTGATGTTACTACCCCAACCAACATATTGTTCATAGGGGGTGGCGAATTTTGATCCCTCATGGAGATATAGTTGATGTTATTACCCGAATCAACATATTGCTCATAGGGGATGGCAAATTTTGATCTCTCATGGAGATATTGTTCAGAGAGGGTAGCGAATTTTGATCCCTCATGAAGATGCAAATGATGATGATGATGATGATGATGATCATGACGATTGTAGGTGTGGAGCAACGTCCGGGTTTGGGCGAACATGTTGAATGACCTGATGAGAAGTGATTGGGGTTAGAAACGTGTAGGGCTGAAGTTTGCTGTAAAGTCAAAACCAAATTAATAAGGAGTTTGCTGCTATACACATCATATAATATATATATATTGAAAAAAAAACATGATATGCCGCTATTTTCCCACCATCTGTGCCCATGTTCGTGGCGTTTTCTCCGCTGAGCCTTACCTTCTCTTGCGTCTCGGAATCCAGCAGGTCCTTGGTCAGAGATTCAGCGCTTACTACAAGAATGATCTAGAAAAAGTTGACGTTTCTATACATGACTATTATTGCAGTATATACTGCTTTTCTTCTGGGGAATATGAGGTTCAAACGTTTGGTTTCACACTGGTGATCGACAATCAAAGAAAGAAAACAAACCACTTGACTTCAGAATCACCCATAATGTGAACCCATTTGTGGTGGTTACACAGCATACATAGACACTCAACCACCAACCACCATCACAAAGTCAAATTCCAGGTGGCAAACCCAAAGCCCCAAGCAAATAAATAATCAGGACTTTTACAACAAATAGGTTCTATAACCAAGTGCAAATGGGATGTTTATGGCATTGGGGCTCCCACAGCATCACTCCCCAGTTTTACCACAGTAGTACTGGGTATGTCATTTTTCTCATGGAGGTTATATCCCAACCTTTGGCATTGTGGTACTTAGTTCACCATGGTGTGAGATTATTTTGTTCAACAGCTGTATCAATGCATGGGTGAAATCATGTCATATCCCTATAGCTGTTCAGGTTGAATCCAAATATTTCAGCACATGTCATTCTCAACAGAACATCCCAAACAGCGTTGAACACGTTTCACATGTTGGCAACCACCAACTGGCCATGCCCCAATGCTCCACACATGGAAGATTTACCAACATTTACCCCCAAACAATAGCCCAGTCGTGTAGCTAAATATTCCAGCATCATGGAGCATATGGGATGGTTATTATATCCATGAATGTTAGTAAAGCAATGTCAGAAACCAGCCATGTTTTGATGGTTCATGCAACCCATTGGCAATTGGTAATCAGAAACTTACCCTCTGGTAATTTAACATAGCTAATTATTCAAAAAAACACCTATTATAGTTGATTTACCTATGAAAGATGGTGATTTTCCAGTTTGCAAACTGTTAGTTTACCAAAGGGTAACCCCAAGTTGCCCCAGCCACAAAATTACCAGCCCAGCTTCCCATGCCCGGTAGCCACTGGCCCACCATGTGGTCCGTTTCGGGTCCTCGGAGCCGGGAACTTCCGCGGCGTAGAGACCGGTGAGTCCGCAGCCGTCGCTATGCCATTCGGGGCCCATGTGGTTGGTCTCCTGGGGAAATTTATGAGCGAAATTCAGGTGTAAATGGTGCGTAACATCTATGAATGGCAAACATTGCTGGAATATTGTGGATACCATATTTATGTTATCACTTTAAAAATGGGGCACATGATCTACAAAATGACACATCATGAAGCAATTACAAACGAATGCAATCAATATTGCTTTGTTTTCAAATGCGGACGGGTATATGACTTGTAAATAATATGCTGTAGGGCAAATTGCCCAGCTTTATACCAACCCCGTCCTGGCAATACGGGCAAGGGGCCCCAAAAAATCACATCAGAGAAGGTCATGATTAACGTATCCCTGAGGTATCAAAAACCATGTGTTGGTCATGGGACCACCAAAAAGCAAGGGAAACCTTT